ACACACATTTATTAAATGTAGTTTTAAAGACTAGGTGTTACAAATATAATACATGTATATATTACCAAGAGCTCCATGTAGGTTCATAAATATTTCTGATCTTTTATCCAATTTTATATTCCACTTCTCCTGAAATTGTATGTATAAATAAGGACCTTTTTAAGTTCTTATACCAATCAATGGTTTGTAGAAGAGAAAAAAACACATTGATTTAGACAAATGCACATTTTCTACGTACTGACAACAATGAAAACTTAATGCAACAATACATACGTCATATGTTGATTTTCCATCTTTACTGGTGGAGGAAAACATTAGTTGCCCCTCTTTGCATTATATCAGGCAAGAGCGGGCACCTAGCCTAAGTAGAACCACTGACGTTCTGTAAGCTAGCTGATAGCTTCCTCAAATGATAAATAAAAAATTCCCGCAGTGATCCAAAATCACAGCAATGACATGCAAGTTCGTAGAAGTGAACGACCTTAACAACTTGGCCATGGACTATTTTGTCACTATGCACACAAACACAAAAAAAAATAATTGGTGTTTATTTCCCACTGAATATCACTATTCTTTTTATTTGTAAACTCTCTCCAATAGAATTGATAAACACAGGTAACTTGCAAAGAACTGACTTACAGTTACCAATATATGACAAGATACCAAAATAACTCTGTCTTTCATGTATTTTTTGTTTTGGGTTTTATGTCACATCGACAAAGTATAGGTCCTATTGGGACGTTCCAGCTTTACTTGTGGAGGAAGACCTCAGGCGCCCCTCCGTGCATTATTTCAGGCACAAATGGGCACCTGACTTTCATGTAATACCTCTCCCCTACAGAATCTACAAAACAATGGAAGCTTTAATTAAAACATAAATTTTACTGTTGTTATCATTATACAGTGGTAATGTTTTGTACATAGATATGAATCATACCTGGAGAGATTTGTCTAGAAATATTTTAGTGTAATATAACTGGTCATCATCGTTATCTGCTACTGCATTGTGGGAAATAATTTCATACACGTCCTTAGCATACCCAATAAATCCTGAAAAAAAACAAAAACATTTTTATTATTATACTTATGCTGTAAACAATGTGCACATAATTTAAGATATATAACTGAACTACAGTCGAACTTTGTTCACTCAGAGGTCCTGTGCAAATTCAAGGTCATTTATAAGTGAAGGTCAATGTCGGTCTGGTTATTTTTAAGGGTTATCCTTGAAGATTATTATGTTCAAGTTTCAAGATAATCCATTCAAAAAACAACAAAGTTACAGCCAATAATAGCAAGAACAAGCAAAATTTGGACTTTTGACCTTGAAGGTCAAGGTCATTTATGGATGAAGGTCAAGGTTAGTGGGGTCTACTAAAAGGTCTTGTCTCAAGGGTATTTGTGGCCAAGTATGAAGACAATACACCAAGAACTAAAAAGGTTATGATCCAGGTACAAGTTTGCAGACGGCAATGGCAATGGCAACAGCAACGGCACCAGGTCTATAACAATACCTCTATGTTTTTCTTTTTTTTAAAAGTCGAGCTAAAAATGAACAAAGGGCAATAACTACAAAATTTGGCAAGGCGGAGTTCAAGTTCTTGTGCACTGCACATCTACCCATTGAGATCTATCTACCTACAAAGTTTCATGTTGATATCTCTTGTAGTTCCGGACAAGATTTTTTTAAAAGGGGAGATAATTCATAAATTAGGCAAAACAGAGTTATGTTTTTTGTACTGCACTTTTACTCAATGAGATCTATCTACCAACAAAGTTTCATGTTGATATCTCTTACAATTTAAGAATTATGTCCCAGACAAAGTTCAAAAAGTAAAAATAAACAAAGAGCAGTAACTCCAATATTAGGCAAGGCAGAGTTATGATTCTTCTGCACTGCACATCTACCCATTGAGATATATCTACCTACAAAGTTTCATGTTGATATCTCTTATAGTTTTACAACTATGTCATGGACAAGGTTTTTTTTAAAAGGGATTATAATTCAAAAATGACGCTTAACAAAGTTATGGTTCTTGTGCACTGCACATCTTCCCATTGAGATCTATTTGCCTACAAAGTTTCATGTTCATATCTCTTATAGTTTTGGAGTTATGTCCCGGACAAGATTTTTCTAAAAGGGGAGATAATTCAAAAACCGGGCAAAATAGAGGTATGGTTCTTAGACACTGCACTCCCCTTCAATGCACTCTACCACTGTATGAAGTTTAAACAAATTATCTCCAAGGGTTTTCAAGTTATGCTCCGGACAAGACAATGAACGGACAGACGGACAAGGTGGCCACTATATGCTTTCCCTTTGGGGAGCATAATAAATTGATATGTTATGTGAGCCTACATGTATATTGTAAATGGTATTACCTACCTGATTTGTTAATTATGCTAAAGACTATAATTATATTTATACATAAACACAATAGTCAGGAGTGCATAAATTTATATAAAAAATGAAAAGAAATTAAATCAAATAAATTAAAAAGAATTAGAAATGATTTAGATAAAGAACAAACCTCCTGAGCAAAGATATTTCTTCTCATGTAATTTCACATCAGGATACGAGCTCTATAAACAAAACAAAAGAAAACATTCTAATGCGTAATATCTCACATGATATCAATGTTTTGTTGTCATTAATTTATTAAAACAAGAGCTGCTAAAATTCAAAATTCAAAGATTATAGTTCGAATGCACAGTATCAAAAGACTTAAATAAAAGCATTTAGACAATAAATTGTGCATTATAAAACTATGATGCCAAAAGAGCAACCAGTGATACTGCGTTGTCTGAAGATTGCCAATATTAGATATGATTTAAATGTAGCGGAGGAGAATGTCACAGTTTAGAACTGTTCACTGTTTAGCGGAGTTAGTGTGCAAGCGGCCCGATAGCTCAGTTAGTAGAGCCATGGTGGAGAATAATTTGAAGCATTGTTAGAGATATACTGAAATCCTTTTAAAGGGAATTGGCTGTCATATACTTGTATGTTTTATAGGAGAATAATTTTAAGCATTGTTAGAGATATACTGAAATCTCTTTAAAGGGTATTGGCTGTCATATACATGTATGTTTTATAGGAGAATAATTTTAAGCAATGTTAGAGCTATACTGAAATCCCTTTAAAGGGAATTGCCTGTCATATTCATGTATGTTTTATAGGAGAATAATTTAAAGCATTGTTAGAGCTAAACTGAAATCCCTTTAAAGGGAATTGGCTGTCATATACATGTATGTTTTATAGGAGAATAATTTGAAGCATTGTTAGAGCTAAACTGAAATCCCTTTAAAGGGAATTGGCTGTCATATACATGTAGTGTTGTCCCGATTGTCTCTGAAAATCGATAACTAATTGGACCACCTCATAATCGGCAACAATTGATAGTCTTTTTTAAAAATCGATTATTTTAATGACTCTTCCACTGCTGAATTTCCTATAGCGTAACTTTTTTACATGCATTCATTTAACTCCAGACAATTTTAAAGTATTTTTTTATATTCACAGTGATTTTTTTTTCCAATTTTCAAAACAACCTGTGGCTCTCTGAAGGGGAAAATATAGCGCGATAAATCAGAAAAGGGGGAAAAACTTGAAATCAAATTCCGACAGTTGAAAATGGAATTTACCAACGCATTCTATAAAATTTTCATTTTCAATTCAATTTCACATGCATGGTACATATAAGTAGCTATCTATAAGGACAGATTTCTGTCTTCTAGCTGATATAAATCAGATGCTGTTAAGTCATGGTTCTGCTAAGGAAGTGCACGAGGTATTTAAGGGGAAATTGTAGCATTTGTAGGGGAAATTATACCTTTTTTGGGCTAGGGGAAACAGCCTTTATTCGGCTGTAAAATACAGTAAAAGAAATCACTGATTCAAAACCTATTTAACATGGTTAATACTACTTTAGAAAATTATAGTGTGTAGTGACATAACATTATAAACTTGTATATCTACTGTAGTTAAACTAGTGATCTAAAAAATTGACTGTCACAAAGTAGTATTAGGTATTTGTGTTGTTTGTTTTGAATTCAAAGAGCAAATCATACTAAAGAAAAAAGGGCCATTATAAGTACAAAACTCAAAGTACTATCGGCTAAGACAATGCTATACTGAAATCTAGGGGTGTGGATCGTTGGATAAGTGACGATCCGATTCGAACCACGATTCAGCACTTACGATTCACAAATCGAACAACAAATCTTTTATTATCAAGACACCCTTAAAAACATATAAAATAGTCATAAAAACATGTTTATTTTTAAAAAAAAAACAGCAACAATACTAAACATTTAATGTATAATCGATATTTCAATATTTATTGTTGATTAAATAATATTGGAACAATTCATTCACATGTTTGACTTAGAAACTGAGAGTTTTTGCGAAATTTAAGGGTTTCTGGCGAACGTGAAATTGCCGATGTTCGGGATCAATTTTCGGAAAGAATCTAAATATTAAAGAAAACTAAAGCGTAAGTGTATTTTTGGTTTGTTGTCCTGGCATTTCGGCACAATATCTTAAATTCTTAATACTCTTATTGAACATTTTTGTAAGAATGAAACTAAAGCAAAAATGTGCCTAGAAAATGCCGAAAATATTCGACAATCATTCAAAATTACACTCATTTGTAATTTGAGAAAACAGTCTTTAAACTTGCGGCGTAAATAGTCGATAATTTTATCCTTTTGTCTGTAAAATTTGCTAATTTCCAATCAACTGTTGATCTATCCCCTTGTGTTATATCTGGTAATTACATGTACAGCGCCGGTATACATTAGTCTGATCACTATTGCGTGATAATGATCAGAAGCGTTATCACTGGTTGGCTAATCGCTTCAGGGGTCGATGTGCATAGCACCGCCTACCTATCTAGACTGACACACGCTGACGTATTTGTGTATTTGTGGTTGTAAACAATCGGTAATGTTTATGCGTCCCTAGGCAAAATTAAGCAGACGTGGAATCCTTGCTCTGAAATATTTGCGTCCAGCTGTAATAAACATGCGTACCGGGACGCCGAAATAAGCGTGATAAAATATAAACTTTATTTATGTTTTTATTCTTTGGATGAGTATTTTTGTTTTGTTTTTTGAAACCAATTACTTCCTAGCTCAGCATCATGGTACATGGTCTTTAACCAGCAAATTGTTTTAGGTTAACTTCATATAATTTATACTCAAATCGTATTTTTCTCGATTTTAAGAGTGTGAGAAACAGTGAATGTATATAAAAAAAATTAGATCGCGATCCACAATCTCTGGGCTTACGAATATTCAAACTCGATTTTTCACTTTGATTCGTGATTATCCGAGTACATGGATACTCGCCCCAGCCCTACTGAAATCCCTTTAAAGGGAATTGGCTGTCATATAAATAAATGTTTTATAGGAGAATAATTTGAAGCATTGTTAGAGCTATACTGAAATCTCTTTAAAGGGAATTGGCTGTCATATACATGTATGTTTTATAGGAGAATAATTTGAAGCATTGTTAAAGCTATACTGAAATCCCTTTAAAGGGAATTGGCTGTCATATACATGTATGTTTTATAGGAGAATAATTTGAAGCATTGTTAGAGCTATACTGAAATCCCTTTAAAGGGAATTGGCTGTCATATACATGTATGTTTTATAGGAGAATAATTTGAAGCATTGTTAGAGCTATACTGAAATCCCTTTAAAGGGAATTGGCTGTCATATACATGTATGTTTTATAGGAGAATAATTTGAAGCATTGTTAGAGCTATACTGAAATCCCTTTAAAGGGAATTGGCTGTCATATACATGTATGTTTTATAGGAGAATAATTTGAAGCATTGTTAAAGCTATACTGAAATCCCTCTAAAGGGAATTGGCTGTCATATACATGTATGTTTTATAGGAGAATAATTTAAAGCATTGTTAGAGCTATACTGAAATCCCTTTAAAGGGAATTGGTCCATAAGTGGAAATATGTAATACCATGAATTTCTATGTTGTTGGTATCTAGTATGATACATGACAACAAACCACAAAATAAATATATTAGGATGTTATAGGTATTGGTGTGAGATTTATGACTGGATATTACATATTCATATATATAGCAGATGATTAATTGTTCTAAAACATAATATTAATATTCATCATATAAATATTCATACCAACAAAACATTTCTTTGTTCAAGAAGAATTTTTCATCCTGATAAACAAAGTATACATTAATAAATTATCTTAACCAATCAGGTTGGGAATTATTGTTACTCTTAATTCTTTTCTGATATTCTATAAATAGTTCAAGAAATATTTTGTAAGAATATCCAAATGATACTTTTCTATAGTTTTATATTTAAAATACCGGTATGTAGGGAAAAACTGTCTTTTATAGACCAATCTACTTTAAATACATGTATTGAACTAACAGCTGGGTAAATACATTATCAATATTCACCAGGTTAATCTAAAACATGTATAACTGTATCAGCATGCAGTCAGGAAGAGATGGTCAGTGTAAATATTAACACATGTTGATCTCTTAATGTGACAAGATCTTAATCATATAATTATCATATACAATAATTTATTCTCCTCTATAAATAAACTTATATCTGATTGTGACACTGTCATATGTTCTTTATTAACACTTAAACAACATTTGCTGGGTGGCACTTAATACAACAGTAGAAATATGTCATAAGATGAATTATTTGACAAACAATAAAAATATTTTGAAAACTTTAGTTAATTAGTTACATGAAAATACAGATATATTCTTCCAAACCCTTTATGGTTCATAGTATTATATCATTTTGTAATAACAAAAGTTGTCATTTTATTTGCAAGAAAAAAAGTTTCATTCTGATATTAATTTCTATAATCTCCCTTAGTTTTTCAAGTATTTAGTTACAAAAGAAGAAGAACTAAATTCAGATCAAATCTTTTTTTTTTTTTTTTTGAAATTTTGTAGTCTGACATAAATTATAAACACGAAATAGGATGTTTCACAAAAGTAATTCAAGTGCCGATTTGACTAATTTTGGGGCAAAATTGACTGATATACGGCCGATTTGACTTCTTGAAAATGTATTGAGGCCAATTTAACATATTAATATGCTGATTTAACTATCTTTGGGGCCGTTTCGACTTGGGGCCAATCTGTCTTGGGGCCAAATTGTTTGTTTGCATCAAAAATTTCATTAAAATATTAAACTAAACTATTCAATTGTCATTTTTCTAAAACAAATGAAGACTTTTTACCTTAAAGGAATGAATAAATGGAATAAAACATGAATTTTCTATAAATTATTGAAAATAGAGTCTGATTGTTGCCAATGGAAAATATTCATTCATTATCAAAATTACTTTACAGTTACTATCTATTCAATGTGAACAAATTTGTGTATGCTTCCAGTAAAGTAAGCCTAATCAACTGTACAATATACTTTGATGCCAACATCCCTTATGTTATTTAGAGATTCTTCCAGATATCATTTTGATGCTAACACCCCCTACATGGCTTATATTTACTAGTATTTTAGTTAGATTAAAATGGTATTTTAGTTAGATTAAAATGGTATTTTAGTTAGATTAAAATGGTATTTTAGTTAGATAAAAATGGGTCAAAGACAGAAAAGGCCGGGTTCCATTTGTACACCAAATATCATGAGGCTGTGATGTTACAAAAAAAATTTTCCATTGACCCATTAATGTTGAAAAATTTAATTCAGTAGGTAAACAGGAAGACAGTGGATAAGCTACACACCTAAAATCTAATCCCACAGTATGGGACCATGTGTCAATTCTGTATGCCAAATATCAAGAGGCTGTGATTAGTAGTTTCTGAGAAAAATGTTACGAAAATTTCCTACCATTGACCATTAATGTGAACAGGAAGTGGATGAGCTGCAGACTTGAAATCAAATCCCACAGTATGGGACCATGTGTCAATGCTGCATGCCAAATATCAAGAGGCTGTGATAAGTAGTTGCTGAGAAAACTGTTACGAAAATTTCCTACCATTGACCATTAATGTCAAAAAATCTAACTAATTTAACTAAGTGGATAAACAGGAAGTGGATAAGCGATAGACCTGAAATCCAATCCCACGGTATGGGACCATGTGTCAATGCTGTATGCCAAATATCAAGAGGCTGTGATAAGTAGTTGCTGAGAAAACTGTTACGAAAATTTCCTACCATTGACCATTAATGTCAAAAATCTAACTAATTTAACTAAGTGGATAAACAGGAAGTGGATGATCGACAGACCTGAAATCGAATCCCACGGTATGGGACCATGTGTCAATGCTGTATGCCAAATATCAAGAGGCTGTGATAAGTAGTTGCTGAGAAAACTGTTGCGAAAATATTTTCCCCGCCCGCCCGCCTGCCCCCGCCCGACATTCACCATACTATAACCCGGATTTGCACCAGTGCAACCCGGCCAAAAATAGTATTTTTGTTAGATTAAAATGGTATTTTAGTTAGATTAAAATGGTATTTTAGTTAGATTAAAATGGTATTTTAGTTAGATTAATGTATAGTCTGATTTTATTGACCTGTCAATTATGAATACATTATAGGACTCATTTAAATATTCGGTCCCACTTCGGTTTGGTCCGTGTAATTTACGAGAATTAATGTGAAGTATATTAGTCATGGATTGAAAGTCACGCCAGCTTAATGGGAAGGTTTTCGTTAATTCACAATAGCACAGTCGGTTAAGAGAATGCCTGATAGGTCTGATGAGAGGTCTGTGGTTCGATCCTTACTGTTGCCATTGTTTTCTTTATTTTTGCAGTATACTTTAATGAAACAGATTTGTAGTGTGTTTTACGGCATTGAAAAGACATTTATTGATTTTAATCCGTTTCAATTTTAAACATGAATTCTTAAAACATGTTATTTTAAAAGAGTATAGACATAACAAAAATAAGTAAAACATAAAAAACAAAACGAACAACATAAAATAATCATATATAGCTTCAATAATGTTGAAAGTATTAATAAGAAAAAAACATGGACCAGCGCGGTCTCCAACTTAAAGCACGTGTGGCACTTAGTTTAAAAACTCGTGCTTTACCCGATTGCGCTATAACGCTGAGTACTATTAGTTTAGAGATACAAATTAATTTTTGAATTCCATCGTACAGCGTACATCTCACGGAACTTACCGAAAATCTACCGAAGATTAATATACTGTGTGCATCAACCGTGTAATCAGTATGTAATTGACAGGTTAATAAAACCAAACAATAGATAAGGTTAAATTAAGCCAAGTTCTCTTTTTAGAATGTTTACGGTAATAATTTCCCTTTAAGGCCAAACCAAATCTATTGTGGTGTTATGTGTTCATGTTTGTCTTTGTACCTTTTGTTATGAGTGATTGAACTGGTTTTGCAAGTTGAGTGATGGATGATTGGTTTTGGTATGCAAGTTATTTTTAGATGATTTGGTTCTGGGATAGCTAATATTTCTTGGTAACTGACCACTCCTTTCATTGCATTCAAGGCAATAACATCTCTGACATTCTAAAGATCTACTATTTCTTTATAGAAATATTGATAAGTTTATCATTATTCATACAATTATTATTTTGAAGATCTCATCTATTTAAAGCCTGGTATGTATATATTTATTTTAATTGTAATTGTGAAATGTTTATAATGTATATATTGTAATTATTGTAATTATGAAATATGTAATTCATGAATTTTCTATTGTATAATATTTCTCTTTGTTATTTGTATTATAGTCTTTTTATTTTGTTATAGGTTTCTTCTACACCTGAATAAATATATAAACATCATCAAAGTGTTTATTATTGAAGAAACCCCCCACTACATTAAAATGGTATTTTAGTTAGATTAAAATGGTATTTTAGTTAGATTAAAATGGTATTTTAGTTAGATTAAAATGGAATCAACAACCAGCTAGCATCAATGGTCTACACTGGTCACAATGGTTAGATTGCGTCACCAGGTTAAAGGTATAAAACAGTAATTATTACCGCTAATGACCTGTCCGGCCAACAAAATCCTTCAGCAGAGAAAACTACACGTGCATCAAACTTGTTGAACTTTTCTAGAATCTCTGATGCTCCAGCTGTGACAACAACATCATAACTAAACAAACAAAATGATCAAATATATTATATATGTAATTACCTTAAAGGCCAATTTGCATCAGAAATGTTTTTTGTTTATTTATAATACTCAAAAGCATTTAACATGCATTTTGGGTATCCTATTTTAGTTTTTTTCAAAAAAAAGGTGAGGGGGGGTACTTAGTTACAAGCAAATTACCCTAACTATCTATTTCTTCTGCTACTTTTTAGCAATTAAATCAATTTCCCCACCATTGAATATTGGGAGTTGTAAATTTGTGACATTGAAATATTCGCGAAAAATCAAGTCAAGTGAAAATATCATCATTTCAGGTTTCTGTGTGTCTTGATAACCAAGTTCCTATTTGTTCTGGGTAACAAAGTTCCCATTTGTTCTGGTAACTAAGGATTAAGCGATGATCGAATAATAATCAAAAATTCATCGTTTATAGGAATTGATGACGATGATCGATTACAAGTTTAATAATCGATCATTAGTAATCTATTTTCTCGCTGTTACTTTAAGTGGCTCACTGTATTATAACAACACTCTAAATTAAAGCCAGCTTAGGTTTACTGTATAATTTTTCATTGAAATGAATATGAAAGCATACTGGTGGCTACTGGTGACCATGGAGTTAATAGTTGACAATGAGACATTCAAATTTAAAGATATAGATCTACTATGTTCAAATTTGACATTAGAAAATATTATGATCTCTTTGTAAATATAAAATAAACATGATTTGACTACACACAAAAAAGATATGTTATGTATGAAATTATTCTACACACTATAGGGGCTACAATATGAATATATACTGACATTAAAAATATCCTGAAAATTTTGTTAAGAAAGGACCAAGTTACTTGTCCCCATAATAGGTTGCATCTTCAAAAGTATCAAGTTTATCTTTATTCAAACTGAGACATAATAATTTCATAGATTTTAATTAATTTATTTCATTAAAATATTATACTCAAGGATCTTTAAAGTAGTGTATTTCAGCTGATAAAGTAGTATAGTAACATAAAATACAGAATACTAATGGATTACTTGTAAATATAAAAGCATGATATGTGCATGTATACAATTACTTTGTTAATGTAAATGCTTCGATTATATAATCGATGATTGATCGAAAAGGGTTGTTTGATTATTTTCAATTATCGATTATGATTTTTGTCCGATTAAGAAACCCTACTGGTAACCAAGTTCATATTTATTCCAGGTAACCAAATTCCCATTTGTTCTGTGAAACCAAGTTCCTATTTGTTCTGTGAAGCCAAGTTCCATTTGTTCTGTGAAACCAAGTTTCTATTTGTTCTGTGAAACCAAGTTTCTATTTGTTCTGTGAAACCAAGTTTCTATTTGTTCTGGGTAACCAAGTTCCTATGGGTTTCAGGTAAATAAGTTCCTATATGTTCCAGGTAACAAAGTTCCTATGTGTCTGGGGTGTGTTTCGGTAACCATATTTTAAAAAACTTTTAACAATTTTCAACCTGACAATCATTCCTTAATAACAAAGAAACAATGATGCCAATCAATTACCGACTATTACCAGATTATTATTATTAAAGTATCAACAAACAGATAACTTCAGTAATTGTGAATCCACAACGTTTCTGACACATAAAGATATCTACTTTATCCAGAATTACTGGAACAGTCAAGGAGACTTGATCTTTAACTTATAAATCAGTAAATATTGTCAACAACTTCATGATCAGATTGTTTTAGAATTTTACAAGTAGAACAAGAAAAGTATTCTTGAAATACAACATATTTTAAACATACAAACTGTCTGTACAATTTTATCAGTTTAACTTTTCAACATATGACTGAATTATATTAAAGATATATACATATTTACCTGTCTGTAAACATATGACTGAATTATATTAAAGATATATACATATTTACCTGTCTGTAAACATATGACTGAATTATATTAAAGATATATACATATTTACCTGTCTGTAAACATAAGAATCAAGTCACTTCTGTCTTTATACTGGGACAGTTCTTCTTTCAATATATTGATCTTATGACCCCCGCCAGTGTTGGTCATGTCCCCGCCACGCCAATCCAAACCTAAACCAAAGACCTGCAGAGAAATAATAGCTCACAATTATTTCTTATCTCATATACAACAGAGCAAATTCCTGAAATATCAAATTCCTATGATAAATCTATTATTAATTTCTGACCTCTTTACATAAACTTAAGAATGACAATACCAGACATATACAACTAATAATATAAACTATAGACTGGTACACTTTATTATTTGGAAAAATATTCTCAATTTTATTTTATCCCAAAGGTACAACTTAAGATTTATGTGTGATTGTAAAGATATTTACATATTGATTAAAGAGGTTTCTTAGCTCATATAATCAGTAACAGAACAGGAAAATATAAAATATTGGTTATTCTTTGGCAAATTAGATGTATTACATATCGAATTAAAAAGTTCATCAATATATCGCTATTTAAGTTAAATTATACAAATTAAATTTAGTTTGATTGTGCTGGAAGCTATAAGCTTATTGAAGCACTCTCAAATCCATTTCCTGGAATCACCCAGTACTAGCAATGAGTGTAAAGCCTCTTGTTCAAGAAAAGCAACAGCTTGTCCTAGATTGGGTTTGATCCCAGCAAGAAAAGCACAAGATTATTTTTTACAGGATATGTACAAAAACTTTACTGTATAGTGTACTGTAGCTAATGTAACAGTGCATAATACTTAAAATTCATTTCATACCAAATTGAATGTAAGGGGAAAAACCCACATCAAATGTAACTGAGTCATATACAAAATGTTTGTTAAGTTTTCATGAATGGCATATGTGTGTTTCTGGATATACTGCACAAAGCATGAAACAATTAGTTTATTATTACTTATATATTATAAACAATTAAACTATTCTTACTTTACTTGATTAACATTTATCTTATGTAACATCTAAATAGATAAATATAGAATGTTATAATGAATTTACCTTTGTTTCCAAGTCATACTTCTTTGTACTTCTTATATATCTTCTTAAACCATCATTTTCTTCTGTTGCTATGGTCACAAGTAGCAGTTCTTGAAAAAAGAAAAAGCAAATTCATACACTAAACAAGAGGGCCATGATGGCCCTGAGGTCGCTCACCTGTATGTAGCCCCCCCCCACCCCCAGGCCAATTTTTACCCAAGGGCTTTTATTTGTTTATTTGAACAGACTTGGTAGACACCCATAAGAAGATGTTTCATGCTTAATATCTAAACTCTAGCTATTTGGGTTTTTTCAAAGAAGATTTTTAAGTTTTTGCTATACACATATAAGGAAAATCAATGACCCCCCGGGCGGGGCCAATTTTGACCCCAGGCCTTTTATTTGAACAAACTTGGTAGACACCCATTAGAAGATGTTTCATGCTAAATATCTTTGCTCTAGCTCTTTCGGTTCTTTAAAAGAAGATTTTTTAAGTTTTTACTATATGCATATAGGGAAAATCTATGACCCCCTGGGGCGTGGTCAATTTTGACCCCAGAGCTTTTATTTCAACAAACTTGGTAGACATTCACTAGAAGACGTTTCATGCCAAATATCTAAGCTCTAGCTCTTATGGTTCTTTAAAAGAAGATTTTTTAAGTTTTTACTATATGCATATAGGGAAAATCAATGACCCCCCTGGGCGGGGCCAATTTTGACCCCAGGGCTTTAATTTGAACAAACTTGGTAGACACTCACTAGAAGATGTTTCATGCTTAATATCTTAGCTCTAGCTCTTTGGGTTCTTTAAAAGAAGATTTTTTAAGTTTTTACTATATGCATATAGGGAAAATCAATGACCCCCTGGGGCGGGGCCAATTTTGACCCCAGGGCTTTTATTTGAACAAACTTGGTAGACATTCACTAGAAGATGTTTCATGCCAAATATCTAAGCTCTAGCTCTTACGGTTCTTTAAAAAATTTTTTTTAAGTTTTTACTATATGCATATAGGGAAAATCAATGACCCCCGGGGCGGGGCCAATTTTGACCCCAGGGCTTTTATTTGAACAAACTTGGTAGACATTCACTAGAAGATGTTTCATGCCAAATATCTAAGCTCTAGCTCTTACGGTTCTTTAAAAAAAAAAAATTTTAAGTTTTTACTATATGCATATAGGGAAAATCAATGACCCCCGGGGCGGGGCCAATTTTGACCCCAGGGCTTTTATTTGAACAAACTTGGTAGACACTCACTAGAAGATGTTTCATGCCAAATATCTTAGCTCTAGCTCTTTGGGTTCTTTCAAAGAAGATTTTTTAAGTTTTTACTATATGCATATAGGGAAAATCAATGACCCCCTGGGGCGGGGCCAATTTTGACCCCAGGGCTTTTATTTGAACAAACTTGGTAGACACTCACTAGAAGATGTTTCATGCCAAATATCTAAGCTCTAGCTCTTAGGGTTGTTTAAAAGAAGATATTTAAAGATTTTTCTTTTGGTTGCCATGGCAACCAGAGTTCTGCATGGAATTAAATTCTTTGAACAATTTTTAAAGGTGACCACCAAAGGAACATTCCTGTGAAGTTTGGATGAAATTGGCTCAGTGGTTTATGAGGAGATGTCATTTAAAGCAAAAGTTTACGGACGGACGACGGACGACGGACGGACGGACGGACGGACGCCGTATGAAAAGCGATCACAAAAGCTCACCCTGTCACTTTGTGACAGGTGAGCTAAAAATATTAATACAATTAACAAGAGTTTTCGAGGGAGACGACACGTTTGACTAATCACATACCGGATGCTGTGAAGGAAGACAAAACTTTGAAAAAACAAATGAAAATAATTGGAAGTGAAACATCTATACAATTGAAAAAATGGGGGTGAACCATCTTTGGAGTGAACCGTCTTGGGAGTAAAATGTCACAATAGTGAAAAGTCTTGGGAGTGAAAGGTCTGGCATCAGTCCCCTCACCCGGGTTTCTTCATAGATTATAAATGAAAAATACGACAGATATTAAAACATTGTATAATTATTATATGTGTTGTATTTTATTTATGGAAACTACACTTCCCTTCATAGAGAGTAATGGGTAATTTCAATACCCCATATCAGGCCTCATTACTTAAAGTTTTTCTATATTAAGAACATATTTCGACTTCCATAATTTGTGTGACAAGCCAAATATTGATGTGTAACAATCAATAATTTTGTTGATGAGCATATTAAATCATAGTTTTTAAGTAACTATTATTTTTTTATGCCTAAAGTAATGGGAAATACTTGCATGCCAGGATAATTTAACTGGTTAAAATGCCTGATCGGGCGTATCACATAAAAATCATATACTGTACCTTAACCTATAAAAAAATTAATATTCTTCTTTTTAACTTTTGTTTATTAAAACAAATTAAGATACTTCATTTGTCGCAAGATTTTTTTCGCGGACTACTGCTAATTTCAAACACTATATATTTTGACAATTATTTAACACTGAACAGATTTTAATTTGAAGATTTCTCTGAAAACTGATAAATTGTATGCTGACAGGTGTTGACGCAATGAATTTAAGAACATAAAGAAGTTATTTTACTAATTTTTTTTTAGTTCTTTGCATATGTAGCTTATTTTTTAAGACTTCAAAAATTATGTGTTTATATATGAAAACATGAAAAGGGAGAAATAATTCTCACAAAGGTGCTAGTAAACAAATATTTAATTTCTTTCTGTTGATGTCATATATTATGCTCAAAAATAATTTCATCACTATAGGAGATTTCTGTAAATATAAACAAAGAAGGCCGGAAACGTGCTATTATTAGCCTATACTTCACATCAATTAGAGTGGTTGGACCAATGCTCGGCGCATACCAATGCTCGGCGTAAAAAATATTTTTTTTAGAATATCTGAAAATGTCTCGAGTTATCTCCGATTTAGGTCACTGGTGCTTTTATTTACGTCTTTCACCATTTTATCCTGGTGTGGTTCACTGCTGGTAAAGTCACTTGAATATGCTAATAGCAGACAAACAACCGTATGTAATCCGCAACATATAAATTATTAAAATCTTTTAACACTAGAGTTCTGGCGCTGTAAAATTTAAATTAAAGGTTGGGTACTTGTAAATGTATGAACCTAATTTGGTTGTTACAATTTATTCAATGTGTTTTCTTCATAAGATAAAAAAGAGATTTTATTCGAAAAACAATCTTGCATCATGTTGTATTGTACGCCGAGCTATGGTACAATTGCACACAAACCACTCTTGTTTATCCGGACTATCTATAGCTCCAGCCATGCACATCATTATGTGATTAGCGAATTTTACACAATGGCTATTTAAAACAATATCATCGGTCTTGAAAATGGACATATAACATTGAGGTTTGTTGACGTTGATTTGAATTCGCCATATCAAATATAGTATTTTTACCCCGAGCGTTGGTCCACCCACTCTAATTCACTCCCATTCTTATTTCCTCCCTCTGTATTTTCAAACTGACACATTGACGGCGCCATTGTGTTTGTTTTGTTTTTATATTCTTTTAAGTGCATTGTTGTTACTATAATACAACTGAAGCAGGGCTCTCAGTAGGGTCAGAATTTGACGAGTCAATGACTCTTTGGCCAAAATTTTCATGAGTCAAATCATTTTTTTTCTAGTGTCATTTGACTACATGAATCATTTTTACGTTACAAAAATGACTGTATTGGAGGTCATTTTTGGAGATTCCAAAGACTAAATTGACAGAAAAAATCCATAATTATAAATGTCTATACCTCCCCCCCCCCTCCTCCACCTAAAAAAAACCAAATAAAACAAAAAAATGAATTGCTGTGAAAAAATAAAATAAGCAGCAGCTTTTCTGATTAAATGTATAAAATATAAAAAAATTATCTTAACTGGTATGCTATATCATATTAATTTTAAATACCAAAATGTAACTTGGAATATTTAATGGAAAAAGAAATAACAAATGCACAGGTACTCCAAGTAAATAAAAGACGTATTAGCAATCAATAATTGACACCTCAAGTATGTAATTCTTATCAGTTGTGTAGAGCTATTTTTAGCACTGTCAAATTGCAGCCACTGAATTGTCGCGCTTCAGTGCACAGGGTATAAACAATTGCCCTGTGTAAACCATTTTATACACAGCTTATACTGCCTGTTGACATTTTTAATGAGTGAGATTTGAACATATGTAGGATTTGATAGGTAATTAGGGGTGGATTAAAGGTAATTATATATTATTGCATAGCTGAAAATCCCATGTGGCAAAATTGACTCTTGAGCAGATTTTATCACATGTCAAATTTGTGCATTTCCCGATTTTCAGTTACTGAAGTTTTATTTTCTTTAACGTCTTTATTTGATCTTTGATCTCCTTATTATCTTTGTGATAGAAAACTTTTAACCTAAGTCAGAAATGAATTCTAAGTCCATTCCCATTACACAATATACTAATATATAGTTTGTATATTAGTATGAATGTACATTCATTTTAAATATACATGTTAGTTGTCACGTAGCATCAACTTTGTACACTGTTGAGTTCTATTTAGTCTGTCTATGGCAGTGACTATAGAAGAGAATCTACAGTATTTTCCCAAACTCAATAATGCAAATCAAATGTCATAAATTTATAAAATAAAAAGGCAATATCCGGTCTTTGTCCCCCGGGGGACAGTAACATTTCAGTGTGTATTTCAGTGTGTATTCACGAGTGTATTTCCCTGATCAGGGTCACTCAGACGCTTATTGACATTTCAGCAAATAGGCGTCGCCACCTACAATATCAATCGTAACAACTCGGCAATCTTCGTCAAGTTCGATTTTTTGAAGTTACTATCGCATGATTAAATGGGGCGCTATTAGGAAAGAGCAGTATAATTACACACACGTGCATAAAATGTATATTCGATTTGCTATATCTTATGCCAGCCCGCATAGCTCAATCGGTAAGAGCGCGAGACTTGTAATCTCGACATTGTGGGTTCGATTCCCGGGCTGGCCAACTAAAATTACTAATCAGTCTTTCGGATAAGACTTTATTTCCCCAAAAAGAAACACCAAACCCCATTTTCAATAATATAGACCCCCGATCCGGGGATATATCTTCCCCTTCAGTGGCATTATAAAGTTTGTTTGTAAAGAATTCGCTCTGTACGCATTATTGTACTCATCGTCCAAGGGGACGTTGCCTCATCATATATATGGTATTCATTCCGTAAAAAAATGCATTCAGAAATTAACCCAAAACACTGTCAAGCCCCATTTCCTATAGCATACATAATAAAATAAATGCGTTGTCTGTCTATGTATAATCCGGTCTTCGTCCCCGGGGACGTTGCCTCGTGTTATATATGCTATTCATTCCGTTATGAAACATCATTAAGACAGTAACCCCAAAAAGAATGCCAAGCCCCATTTTCTGTAAGATAGACCCCCGAAAAAAAACCTCTTCCGGAGACAAATCTCCCCTTCAGAGGCATTATAAAGTTTGTTAGTGTAAGATATTTTACCTGTATATATATATAATCCGGTCTTCGTCCCCGGGGACGTTGCTCACAGCACTTTCAAGTGATGAAAATTGCAATATATTAAGATATATTTGTTTGAAAAAGTCATTAAGATACTTCCCCCAAAACAAACCAAGCCCCATTTTATAAAATAAAAGAACCCCCCAAGAAAACCCTCTTCCCGGGAAAACTTCCCTTTACGAGGCAAAAGAAATGATCGAATATTTCATATCGCGGCTGTATATATAATCCGGTCATTGTCCCCGGGGACGATGACCGGATTATATATATAGACAGAGCGAGTTATTTTACAAATTAACTTTATAATGCCACTGAAGGGGGAGATATCTCCCCGGAAGAGGGTTTTCTTCGGGGGTCTATATTATAGAAAATGGGGCTTGGCTTTGTTTTGGGGGTAACTGTGTTAATGATGTTTCATCACGGAATGAATAGCACGTATAACACAAGGCAACGTCCCCGGGGACGAAGACCGGATTATATATAGAGAGACGATGCCCTTATGTGTGTAATTTTAGGTAAGTAAACAAATTATGTAAAAAAGTTTTATTTTTTTTTTTTAATAATAATTTTACGGAATGAATAGCATGATTGATGACACATTTGTTTTTTTTAAATAACCAAAGTTCATTCCCCTTGAAATGCCCCATGTAAGTCATACACGGTTGTATTGAGATTTTTATTTCCTTATATAGTAGTATAAATTGAATATACACATGTTACATGAGGAGAGGAATGCACGAGTTGTGCGTGCGTATCATAAAGTGTACTTGCAATAGTTAGCGAGCATGTCAAACAGAAATATTGAAATCTATAGTAAATGGTCAATAATTCAAGATATCATTGGACCAGCAAATCAATGGCCACATTCAATCAGGATATATTTCTGGACTCCAAATTTAAATCATTTTCAGAGAATACTTATATCAGCATTTGTTTATGTAAATGGACTTAATCCTGAAATATTTGTAGAATGGGTTTGGCATGGGTTTTTTTTTATTTTACGGAATATACAGATTATTAATGTAATAATTTGATCCAATCAAATCGCTTCACGGAAAATGCCGACATAATGTTACTCTTGACAACCAATATACGGCTGTCAAATTTAAAGCAAGCGCTCCAGTGATCCAGATCAACTTTAAAAGTGCATTGTCCCCCGGGGGACGAAGACCGGATATTGCCAATAAAAATACTTTACATATTGTAACTCATCAAGTAAATATGGAATATATTTACCTTTGTTATCCTTGTCAATACAAAAACTTGGAATCGTTGTCGAAATCGGCACAGGCTAAAACGCAGACGCTTATGCAGACAATATAGAATATATAGTAAAACGCAGACAATATAGAATATATAGTAAAACGCAGTATGCTACATATTGTCTGCATTTATCAAAAGTTGTACTATATATCTATATTGTCTGCGTTTTACTATATGTTTCATATTGTCTGCATTTACTCTATATCTATAGTGTCTGCGTTTTACTATATGTTTCATATTGTCTGCATTTACTCTATATCTATAGTGTCTGCGTTTTACTATATGTTTCATATTGTCTGCATTTATCAAAAGTTGTACTATATATCTATACAGTAGTGTATGCATTTTACAAAAAAAATTTAATGTTAAACAAATATTTTCTCTATTATATCTATAGTGTCTGCGATTTACTATATGTTTCATATTGTCTGCATTTATCACAAGTTGTACTATATATCTATATTGTCTGTGTTTTACTATATGTTTCATATTGTCTGCATTTACTATATATCTATAGTGTCTGCATTTTACTATATGTTTCATATTGTCTGCATTTATCACAAGTTGTACTATATATCTATAGCGTATGCATTTTACTATATGCTACATATTGTCTGCATTTATCAAAAGTTGTACTATGTCCTTATTAAATTTGGACAAATAATTATATAATTTTAATCCTAATATCCAATCATATCATTATCTAGACATGAGTTAATGATAATTATTATTGAGCTACTATTTTGATAGTATAAAAATACATTGTTTGAATATTCCTTTCTCATACATCTTATAGTATTAATAATAAAAGTGTGATACATATTGTGGATAATTTCTGTTGCTGGATTTATCATTTGGAGATTATAAATAATTACTGATATTTTTATAGCGAACAAAATAGTGAATATTTAAATAGTATTAAATATTTGTGTGTTTTTGTTTAAATTGTGTTTATCATTATGGCTTTGGTGTTAGGTCACAGTCAAGCCAAGTATTTATCAGACTATTTGTGCAAGGGCAGTTTTAGTGTATTTTCATACTCAGGATACCAAGTTCGTGATATTCTGAATGAAGCTGTCATCTATGATGTGGTACCATTCTTTTCAGTGAGTGCATAATTTATTTCCATGACTTACTTATGTCATGCTTCATGATTGCATATAGTTGTTGATGATTGTTTGAAATTGATTAGATTAGTGTCACTTCACACGTGCATAATTAATTGCCTATAGCCAAGGGGATTAGAGTTACCCCCACAGTTTGTCCCCTGTTGATAAGGAAAGTGTGACCACATCCTGTGTATTAGTATATTGCCACTTAATTTAAATGTGTGTGTCTCTTTGTTTCTGCAGAGAAACACATAATTTGATACAATTATATTAAAAAAGTATGATTATTGAAAACTTCCAACCACTTTAAGTATATATCATAATTTACAGAAGCATATGAAAAAAGTCTTTGAACACTAAATTCAATTAAATCTTTAATACATTTTGTAAACAGTATTAGTAAAATGCAGACAATATAGATATATAGTGAAAATTGTGATAAATGCAGACATGTAGCATATAGTAAAATGCAGACAATATAGAAATAATAGAGAAAATATTTGCTGAAAATTAAATTCATTTTGTTAAAAGTAACAGTAAAATGCGAAACTATAGATATAGAGTAAATGCAGACAATATTAAACATATAGTAAAACGCAGTCACTATAGATATAATAGAGAAAATATTTGTTTAAGATTAAATTCATTTTGTAAAATGCAGACACTATAGATATAAAGTACAACTTGTGATAAATGCAGACAATATGAAACATATAGTAAAACGCAGACAATATAGATATATAATAGTACAACTTTTGATAAATGCAGACAATATAGCATATAGTAAAATGCAGACACTATAGATATATAGTACAACTTTTGATAAATGCAGACAATATAAAACATATAGTAAAACGCAGACACTATATAGATATAGAGTAAATGCAGACAATATGAAACATGTAGTAAAATGCAGACACTATAGATATAGAGTAAATGCAGACAATATGAAACATATAGTGAAACGCAGACAATATAGATATATAGTACAACTTGTGATAAATGCAGACAATATGAAACATATAGTAAAACGCAGACACTATAGATATAATAGAGAAAATATTTGTTTAACAGTAAAATCATTTTGTAAAATGCATACACTATAGATATAAAGTACAACTTTTGATAAATGCAGACAATATGAAACATATAGTAAAACGCAGACAATATAGATATATAGTACAACTTGTGGTAAATGCAGACAATATGTAGCATATAGTAAAATGCAGACAATATAGATATATAGTACAGCTTGTGATAAATGCAGACAATATGAAACATATAGTGAAACGCAGACACTATAGATATAGAGTAAATGCAGACAATATGAAACATATAGTGAAACGCAGACAATATAGATATATAGTACAACTTGTGATAAATGCAGACAATATGAAACATATAGTAAAACGCAGTCACTATAGATATAATAGAGAAAATATTTGTTTAAGATTAAATTCATTTTGTAAAATGCAGACACTATAGATATAAAGTACAACTTTTGATAATTACTTTCTTGTCCACATTTCTTTTATGTTACAAATTATACAAAGCTACAGTAGTATTAAATATTTTATTCCAAATTAATTTAATTAAAATCTAACATAGAATAAAAAAAAAAAAAACTTTCTTTGTTAAGAGTCTAATTCACACCTTCTATTTCTATATCGTCTGCAATTTGTGAAAACACTCTATATCTATATTGTCTGCGTTTTACTATATATTCTATATCGTCTGCGTTTTACTATATATTCTATATTGTCTGCATAAGCGTCTGCGTTTTAGACCGACCCGTAGAAATCAGCATCAACAGATGCAAAAGAATTCTAGCCATCTTTTGTGAATTTGACGGTGTGTAGATTCTACTGAATAATTCCTTCAAAATTGCAATGTAAAATAAATCAATAGCGTTATTAATGATAGAGAATGTCGTTTCTCTTCTCTCTCTCTTATTGCCACATCACTAACTCCTTCTTATAAGAAACACTGTGAAATTTGATAGTGTTTGACATTTGACCCCCCATCTAAATCGGTTTTTTGGCAGATTGGTTTCCGATTTACCTTATAATTTATCGCGCTTGCGCAATTGCTGGGAACCAACATGGGTAAACGGCGTGATATTCCGAAATTAGATTATATCAAAACTGTTCTTAAGTCTATTCGACCCTAACTTTGCCATTTGCAAATTATTATTATTAAAATTATTATAACTTGTCACAGGGAAGTTAAGTTTAATTTGTCTTTTTGTTCTTTTTTGATACAATTATTATTAGTCAATATGAAAAAAAAAATTTACTCAAATAAAAATTAACGAATAAATGAATAGAAAACAAAGAAATGAATTTATTTCATTCTTTCCATTGTTTTACTGTGATTATATTCTGATAAACATCTAGTGAAATTTGTAAAATATAATTTTCACTGTAGCCGGACTAAATCTGAATGCGGATGAAAAGAATACCATAACTAAATGGAATTACAGGCAATAATAAATTTAATGACGTCATACTAAATGTTGTTTCTTTTAGAAAAGATGTGATCCTACATCATGTTAAAAATGTAACAAAATTGAATAATATTTGAGCCGTGTTATGACAAAACCAACATAATGGGTTTGCGACCAGCATTGATCCAGCCAAGCCTGTGCGATCAGGATCCATGCTGTTTTTACAAGTCGAGAAAATGATAGCGAACAGCATATGGATACTGATCAGACTGCGAGGATCTTCACCTTGTGCTAGTGTGACTTTTCCAAACATTAGTTATATATTCCATATTATTTATCGTAAACTATGCGGACATAGTCGAAGCTGGATCGAATATTTAAATGAGTGCTATAATGTATTCATAATGCACGTACAGGTCAATAAAATCAGTGCTATAATAATGTATTCATAATGCACAGGTCAATAAAATCAGTGCTATAATAATGTATTCATAATGCACAGGTCAATAAAATCAGTGCTATCTATAATGTATTCATAATTCACAGGTCAATAAAATCAGTGCTATAATGTATTCAAAATGCACAGGTCATTTAAATCAGACTATACCTAAGCAGAAAATAAAATATATAGATCTATATATTTAAATATTCATAATCTTTCACTTCTTCATCAACATGGTTATTTATGTAAAAGGAAAATAATTAAAGTATTTTGTTTGTAGGCTCGTTTTTGTATGTCCAACAATAAAAAGATGAAATAGAAGAAAGTCTTCAATCATTTATCCCCAGTTCCACTTATATATCGTTTGACATCACATTATAGTTGAATAAATGGTATTTTACCTTTTTCTTTTTGACTTTTTCTACTTCCGCTAACGTGTCAAATTAAGTCATGGCATTCATAGCAAAATTTGTACTTTTATATTTCGGCAGTTTAAGACTAAAGGCGGGTTACTATGCTAACATAAGTATATGCAACATTTAACGTGTACTTTTATATTTCGGCAGTCTAAGACTAAAGGCGGGTTACTATGCTAACATAAGTATATGCAACATTTAACGGATTAACTACATATGGCGAGAAGGGAACGTATCTCGAGCGAAACAAATACAAAATTTATTCTGGTAGACCTTTTATTTTTTTTCAGCTAGACAGACCATTTGTAACGTTTTAGAAGGAAACTTGTATCCTTCCAAATCAACACTTTTATCATTATAAATGTTTCCCCTGGCTCCTCCACTTGTCAGTGCTTTAGTTTATGCCTGAGATCTTCCGACCAGAGACATAGAGGATATTGAATGAGTGTAAGTTCAATACTGAATTTATTGCACGAGTTGAATAAAATTATATTATGCGAGCCTCTGGCGAGCATAATATTATTTTATTCAACGAGTGCAATAAATTCAGTAATGAACTTACACGAATTTAATATTCTATTTATCACATACCCAAAATAAAGACC